CTGGGAATATACCCCAAAGAGACCTTAATGGCCACCCAAGCAGATATATGCACACCCATGTTTATCGAGGCTTTGTTCACAGTAGCGAGGAGTTGGAAACAACCTAAGTGCCCAGCAACAAACGAATGGATAGAGAAGCTGTGGTATATTCACACAATGGAATACTACGCTGCACTGAAAAGCCAGGAATTCACCCAGTTCTGATGTGACTACTCATAGTCCAGGTATTTCAGGGCAGAGTCTGGGTCACCACCAGCTGGGCGCTTGCTTAGGTGGCGGGAGGAGGGGGTCCTACAGACCAGCTCCCCGAGACTGATGCAGAAAGAAACAACTGTCACTGCTGCAATACTTCTCATCTGTGTGCATGGAATCATTTTGTTTTCCTCCCTAAACACAAGAAACGACTGTGCTGTTGGCGGCGTGTGCGCTAACTGTATCCTGTTAGGCACAAGTCTGGCTTTATAACTGGGGGTTTTCTCCGGTTTAAGGAGATGTGGGTGGACGGTAATGGTTACCGCGTGTCCACTCGGCCTTCACTCTCTGGACCGTGTAACTGGCCCAGGTGTGTAAATCCCGGGATTTCGGGTCGTTAAGTGAGGGTATGGTGGGCCCTGAGTCCCGGCGGGAAGTCTCCTGAGGGCCGCAGCTGCACGGAGCTAAAAGCCGGCACAGGATGCGCCGCCCGTCCAGCAGCCCCGCGCCGCCCAGGCCCTCGTCGCCCTCGTCACCCACACCGCTGAACAGCGCCTGACGCATCCTGGCCCTAGCCTCAAGGGCCCCTCTGAGAGGAACGTCTGCAGTGAGGGTCAAGTTGCCGCCCACCAGCGTCCAGGGCCCTTACTCACCGCCTCTACTTTTCTCCTCAAGCCGCCAACGGAGAAAACCGACGCCACCTGACCCCCACCACGCAGGCGCAGGAGCTGAAGCTTGGCGTGCGCACGAGGCGCAGGCTAATCGAGCAGTGCACGTGAGGCACGGGCCAATCGGAGCAACGCACGCGAAGCACGGGCCAATCGGAGCAATGTATGCGAGGCACGGGCCAATCGGAGCAATGCACGCGAGGCACGGGCCAATCGGAGCAGGGCATGTGAGGTACGGGCCAATTGGAGCAAGGTAAGCGAGGCGAGCCACTGGCCAATGGGAGCGAGTGCCCTTTCCTTCGCACGTAGGTGCCCCAGGAGCGACGGGACAGGAATGGCTTGTGCGCGTGGGTGGACAAGAGGCTTGAAGAGTCTAAAATGTGTCCAAGGTGCGTTCTGAAGTGGTGACCGCGGAGCAACCCGCCCCCGGGGTCTTCTTCCCTCGGCCCTATGTGCTGCTGCTCTTTCCCGATATCAAGCCCCACAGATACCACCAGCGACCCTTGGGGTCTTTAAGATCTTTTGGCCCAGGGCATAACAGGCACTGTCTGCTCACCTGTGAGGAGTGTAAAATCAAGCACGGATTAAGTGAGCAGGGAAGTTCTCAGCCTTCTGCTTCCTAAATGCTTGCCTATGGCTTTTGAAGTTTCTTAAACCTCTGAATTTGTACACATTTGAAATGTCAAATTAAATTACTTTAAAAGAACAGAAAAAAAAAAAAAGAAAAGATCTTGGAGGCAGGACTTAACTGTCCAGGAATGAGTTTACTGAATGAATTTTGATGGGGGTGGTGAGGTTCTGTTGGGGGAGGGAAGCCCAGAAGAGTCACTTCACCCAAGTGACCTCCAAACCTAATTTTGAATGTGCCTGCCATGTGGACATTCGGTACAGTCGTGGAACCAGAGGGTCAGGTGAGCAGGAGGGGCCAGTATGGGCACAGCAATCCCCGTGGGGTCACCTGATTACCAACCCTGACTCCAGTGTAGGTACAGGGATAATGCATGACAGGTGCCACCCCGAGAGACACTGAGGGATAAAGTCATGGCACTGGCCACTCGGGTATGTGGGGACTGCAGAGGCCAGAGCACTTTGCCCCTGAAGCCAGCTGAGACCCCTGCGTTGTTAGCAGCATCCTGATAGCACATATCCCGGCCACATGCAGGCATCTCTTGCTGGCCCTGGTGTAAGAGGACACTGAGGAGGGCTTAGGCCACACACCACAGCCTCATTTCCCCAAGATAGGAAACACCTAGAGCAGCCAGTTTTCTTGGGGCTGGCTGAGAAGTGGACATTTACTTTTTATAATGTATAGGATTCTTAGAAATACTCCCTTTTCATGATCAGAAACTTTGTCTTTTCAAACAAAAAAGATATGCAAAAGGATGAAAATGAAATGACTGTCAGGTCTCAATTTAATATTTTAAATGAAGAGAATGTGCCAGCGTTAGACATCCCTGCTCATCTGTTCTGGACAGCATTCAACCCCTACACACCCTTCATGTGCATAGCTCCCCACATCTACATACACACCCACCCCCACACACACATACACTCCTCCTTCTACACATAGCCCTACACACACACTCCTTATGCACACACGCACAGTAGGGCATGAGGGTGACACGTACCAGCTCTTTGTACTCTGCCCTTCAGCACCTGGGTGCAGTTCTTGCTCTTTAAGCAACGACCATGCTGAGACGCTGCTTTCCACTCCTCAAGCTGCTGGTGAGAAAGACAGGAAAGAAAATCTCTGCTCCCATATTACCAGTGGGAGGGTCTCCTTTTGTTTTCTCCTCAGAAAAATGAAATAAACACTTTTAACATTTTATTTTACCTTAACCACTTGTTTTCTATGACAGACAAGACCAGGGAGTATATAAAAAGTCATTTTATTATACCTTATTTCGATAGGATGCCAGTGCCCTTTAAAGTCCTACTATTCAAGTACAAATGCTTAAGTTTACAAAGTATTTACAGGTTCCTTCTTGTTCATTCTATTTTAAAACACAATAGTTATCTGGTTACAAGAGTTGACAGAACATTGCAGAAAGGGGGCCCTCTGCCTGCCAGGCCCCAAACCTGAATGAGTGGCAGACCTGCTTTCCCAGGGAACAGCTTCAGACAGACTGACTGTAATTAAGAGATCTTTCTAAAAAATCACTGGCCACTCTTGTCCACAGCAGCCGAGCAGAGACTGATGGCAGTTCGGATGTGATGTCTGTTTCATCTGTTTGAGTCATTATATACTATGTTAGTAGGAATTCTGATTAGGAAGTAATGCCAAACTTCGCTAACCATAGCGGTCAGAGAGGGCCTGGACAAGAACTTCCTAAACTCACCAATTCTTAAAACATGGGATAATTTAAAACAAAGCTGAGACAACTACTGGAGGATAATTTTTTACTATTTTGGACACTACTCGGGCCAGTGGTAACACCTAAATGTTATTCAATCAGATGACACAAATACTTTCTGTTCCATATTATGTAGTGGGAAACTGCTAAAGGAAACATATCCCTGACACCAGATCTTGTTCATAACAACAGAAGCGGGGCAAAAACTTGACACTGCAATCGTGCAGAAACCCAGCTCTGTCCTCTTCTTTTGGGGGGGGGGAGGGGCGGGGACTAATTTCACTACTCAAGTCCCCGATCAGCAGAGGAGAACGGGGCTGAGAGGAAGCTGGAGACCAGGATTATAAGCCCTTAGATCTCCACGTGGGCAGGTGAACAGTGCCACGGCTGGTCCACCCCAGGCCAGAGCTGACAGCGTTTGCCGTGAGGAAAGAGTTGACCTCTGAATATTGCCAATTAGCCAAACACACGAAAACCTTCCATTTCTCAGCATTTGATTTTTGCTTCCACCATTTCTCAAAAGCAGCTTCTCCCCTCAACAATCCCCTGAGCAGTGTCACAAGATGTCGTTGTACCTGTCTGTCCACAGGCATCTGCTGACTGACATGGGACAGAGCAGGAGATCTTTCGTGCAAAGAGGACAGCTTGTTCAGTACACACTATACAGTAACCTCATGCAGTCTCAGTTATGGGCCAAGTAATGCGCATCAGCAGCTGGCCACAGCAGTGAGGGCCACCCTAAGTGTCACTTTTGGTTATGGTGAATAGAGCCACGTTGGCTGGGACTTGCCAACTTGTAGTCAGAATAAAGACTGCAGTGAGCATGCAGTGTCCTCCTTCTGCCCACGACAACCTGGAGGATCAACCTGCTAGCAGAGCTGTGGGGGCAAACTCATGCAGACAAGAAGCCCCGGATGTGCAGGCAAGTCAGGCTACGACATGCACCCCATGTTTTTCTATCTGCACATGTCTGCCAGAAGAGGGTACTGGGCCTGTCTCTGTAGTTAATCCCTCCAGATTCTTTGATTCCAGAGGCTGCTTTGTTCTATGGAAAAGGCCTGGGGCCTTGGCAGCAAAGAACCTGCCACAGCACCTCCCCCCCCATACCATCTATATCCATGGCACAAATGACAGAATGACAGGGAGTGTGGGGGTCATAAAGGCCCTGGAGCCATGACAGCACAGGCTATAGAGGGGACTGTACACGACAGGGGCACAGAGATGGAGGAAGTACATAGTGACTCTCTGGAACGGAAGTTCAAGCACAGGCTTTTTGCCTATGTGCAGTTGGGGCCTATCAGGTGCCCAGATGGGCATCAGCCCCATATTCCCTTTAACTGAGTAGTCCTATTTCCAGGGAAGAGGAAAACCAGGGGGGGCCTTCTTTGGAATGAAGCCCTCTCAGGACCACGTAAGCCTCCGGCAGGGCAAGACTCACAATGTGGACAGACAGTGCACACAGACAGACATCTAACATGTCTGGATGGAGAAACAATGAAGTGTTTACAGGGCACTGTTGCCACTGTCACTTTCCCCATTAGTCATGTAACACAGAGAAGGAGAGTTGGACAGGACCATGTCCTTGAGAGCGGGTGCACTTTAGCAAGAGGACCACACAGTCCTGTGTCAATGACATCGTCCCAGAGCTGGCCACCTGACATGACACTGTCCAAGCTGAGCCTGGCCACAAGATCTCCATGAGGCAGCAGCTGTGTCAAAGGTTGGTGAAGTGTCCAGGCAGCCTGCTCTCCAGTGCGGCTGGAGCCCCAAGGCTGTGCTTGACCACTTACTGGCATGGGGGTTTGGTGGGCGTCTTCAGCCTGACAGCAGGCACGCGCATCTGCAGTTTGGGCTGCTGACTGGGGCTCTCGCAGTTGGTCGGCCCCTGGGCTGGGTTTTGGACCCCGGGGCTCTGAAGCTGGGTAGATGCCGTGGTCACCACCTGCTGCTGGATGAGCTTCTGCTGTACTACCTGGGCCGTGGCAGTCACTGCAGGGATCATCTGGACCTGCTGGCCAGCTGTGGTTGCCTGTGTGAGCGTCACTGTCTGCGGAGAGGCCTGGACAGAGCATCAGAGAGGACACGTCACCCAGAACCCATCTTCTCGGCAGGGAATGCATTTGTCCAACACAGACACTGGCGGCACACTTGGACATGACGGGAAGGCCTGAACATGCTCCTGCTGGTTCCGACTGAAAGCAGAGCATGTGGGCAGAGGCAAGCTGAGATGGAGGGACTTGTGTGCTATCATTACAGAGCTGCTACTACTGCTTGGTGTCCTGCCACCAGGGCAACCTGAACTACATAAAGCCTTGCAGCTATAAACAAGGAGGGAAGAGGCTAAGATGTCACTTGGTCGTCAAGCCCTCTTGCTCCCCACCCTAGACTCCAGCACAGAGCCCAGGCTGGCAGGAACATCTCAGAGGACTAGCTGAACAGACGATCCTGTGCATGAGTAAAAGACTGGCTCCTTCTGCACAAGGACAAAGGGCTGGAACAAGCTTGTGTGCACGTCTTTCCCACTATCCTGAGGATGTGAGGATGGCAAACTTCCCTCCCAAAGGTAACTTTTATTCCTGTATTATTAATATCAAGTGAGCTGCTAATGCAAGGTTTAATTTATGAGGAAGAAAACAAGCAAGAGTTCTCATAAAATGGGAAGCTGGAGTTTTGAGAAGTGTGCATGTGCACTGGAACCACGTGTTCCCATGGTGGCCGTGTCCCCAGGCCCTACCTGCTGGGATGCGGTGGCAACCTGCTGGATGCTGGCCACGGTTGTTTGCTGCTGGACAACTTGGGGAAGTTTTGCAACCTTTGACAGAACAGAAAAACCCAGATGTAGCATTCCAAAGGTGTGCACAGAAAGAGAGAATGCACTCCCTTCTCCCTGCCTTGATTCTTCACGCAAAGAGCAAGAGCAAAAGGCCACGTCGAGGAGTGTGGGCAGGCTCCAGACACAGGACAGTGGTGTCTTCCTCATCTGTGATCCCGCAAAACGTATATTCACTTCAGTACTGTATTTTCACAAAAGCGTTTCGCAGAACCCAGCACCAGGAGGCAAAGAAATACAAGATGTCAATGATGTTAAGGGGCCTGGGGCAGAAAAGATGGGAAACATCAGAAGAGTGCCTAATGAGGCAAGGCAACAGATTCGAGAGGTGATCATTCTCAATGCAGCAGTAAGAGAACTTGAAAGACAAGGAAGATCTCTTTAGCAGGGGAGAGATTTCCTCCGAGGCTTGTCAGATGATGTCACGCTCTGCCCCAGCAAGGGGAGCCGGAGCACGGGGCGTGTGCCCAGAGCTCACAGCCTGCCAAGCCACCCTCCACATGTCAGCATGAAAGCTGTTTTTAGACACTGAAGGTGATTCTGAAGGATGGGTGTGGAGCACAATCGCTCAGAGAGGGACAGCCTGCAAATGGGAGGACTCACCCGAATGAGAGCTCACAGACAGGAGCACTTGCCACAGATGGCAACACTCACCTGCTGAGGTGAGCCTACAGACAGGTGAGGTTGCCCTCAGAGGAGAGCCCTTAGACAGGAGCATTCATCTGGAAAGCCCCGAGATGGGAGCACTTGCCTTCAGAAGAGAGCCCACAGACGGGAGAGTTAGGATACAACAAGGTGACTGGGCTCCATGAGAAGCTGGGTGGATGTGGAAATTTCTGGGTCACATAAAGGAGCAGGAAGAGAAAGTGTGAAAAAGAGAGGAAGAAGAAGAGAGAATAGACGGAAGAGCTAAGTCAAGTTCAGAATGAAGCCCACAGACAGAAGGGTGGAGGAGGCAACAGTGAAGGCTGTGCACAACCCAAGGGCCCAGGAGACCCCAGGCAAGGCCAACAGCTGCACCAGGAGGGAAAGGTGACCTAGTCTGAGGAGCAGATCCCCCAGGGCAGGTGGAAGCCCAGAGGGCATGGTGGGAGTGCAGTGGGAGCCCAGTGCAGGGCTATGAAGGGCCAAGGGAGAGGAGAACAGCCCTGACATGGAAGTACTGCAGTCTGCAGGACACAAAGACAGTGGGCTGGGCCCAAGTCCTGTTATTCTGAGATGACTACACAACTAAGTCTCAGTAGGATGTCAGATAATAAGGGAAGAGGCTACAATAAGCAGTGCAAAGTGAAAGCGAGGCGAGGATGTGTGGCACCCAGAAGGGAGAAAGGCGGTCGAGCCGGGCGTGAGCAGGGGCTACCACCAGCAGCAGCCCTGGCGCAGCCCAGGCAGAGCCCAGGCCACACACGCCGAGGTCACCTAGAGTGGAGAGCACACAAAGCCAAGGATGACCGAGAGCATGCAGAGTCGAGGACACGTGGCCGAGGCCATGCACAGTTGAGAACACACTTGTCACCACTGCACACATGCTGGACACACAGCAGGGGTGAGGGTCAGGCTTCCAGGAGACCCACCACTATGAGCAGGTATGTGGAAACACCCCAAATGCACACATGCACACCAGGACAATATTATGCTGGGGGGCCACGCCAGGAACATACCCTACCCAGCAAGAAACAATGCCCACAAACACTGTCTGTGTGTGAGGACAGACAGGCAGTTACAGCCACACCCCCTCAGGGAAAGCCCACCTCCAACGGAGCAGAGACAGGAAGGACAGGCAGGCCCAGCATGGCCACATTTGTGTCCAGCCCACACTCACTTGTATCTGAGTCTGCACCTGCTGCGTCCCAGCCAGTTTTGGGGCCTGGGAGATAGGTGTTGTGAGGAACTGGGTCTTCAATGCCGGCTGGGGGGCATAGGTCACCTTCTGCTGCTGGCCCTGTGCAGCAATCTGCTGTGCAGTTATCTGAGGAGACGAACCGCAGGAGTGAGGGCTGGGCAGGGCCCCAAAAGCCCTCAGCCTCTGCGGGACCTTGGGCTCAGTTTGCAGACCCTTCAGATGAGGTGATGGGGCCTGGCTGCCTCAGCTGGTTCCCACCTCACCTCTACCCTCCTTTCCACCCCCTCTTCTGAGAGCAGACTCAGGTCCAGCCCAGGTCTGCCACATCACCACCAGAGGCCCAGGCAGGTCACCACGTGGCCAGAGCCACTGCCCATCCAGTTCAGGCACTCAGCAACCTTCCCCTCCCCAGGGCCTCAGGGCAGCAGTTCCAGACTCCATCTCACTCCGCCCCTGATCTGGGCCTCACTCCCACCCTCACTCCAACTCAGGTTGTTCCACTCCACCATCACCATCTCTTGACGTATGAGCCCCCCAACCCCTAGACGGGGGGTGAGGTGTGTGGCCTCTACCTTCTGCTGGACAGAGGCAGGACCCTGGGTGCCCTGGGGCTGGATGGCCTTCTGCTGCTGCACTGCCTGCTGTTTGAGCTTCAGCAGCTGCTGCACATGGACCGGCTGGGCCACCACAGTCTGCCCTGTAAGCACAAGGACACATCAGCCCCCAACAGCCCTGATGGCAACAGGGCCACTGCAGAGCTGGGAGGCAGACACGGCCATTCCTCAGTCTGCCTGGTGTGCCTAGCTCCTACTGGACATTTATGTAAATTCCAGAGACATATGATGACTGATGTTTAAATGGATGGGCCGAATGCAGACCTGGAACCTGACAGACATGAGGGCTGAGCTATAGCATGCATCTCAGACCCCTGGTCCTCAGGCACAGGCTCACAGACACTGCTGGAACACCAGAGCCATGCTGGCCACACACAGTACAAGAATGGGGTGCCAGGCATGGAGCATAGACATGATGGATCAAAGGTGCAAATGCAGGGCAGGGCGTGAGGCACAGGGACCCAAGCAGGGAGTGCGGGGGACGGGGACCTGAGTGTAGGCACACACGAGGCAGGGTATGAGACCCAGAGACCCCACTGTCCTCACCTGCTGCCTTCTGTGGCTGCCCAATTGCCACACTGATCCCAGCCACATTCATGGGCAGCGTCGTGACTCCCGGTGAGGAGACTACAGCTGCAGGCACGGAGACCACAGGGGGCTTCGCGAGAGCCACCTGGGCTGTTGGGGGTGTCTGGGCTTGCATCTGTCCCTGAGCCTGCAGCTGAGACGTGGGCACTCGAGTCTATAGTGAGAGAAAGACAAAAGGCTGTGCACCATAGCACGCCTAGGACCACAGGTTAATAACGAACTAAGCTGGAAAACAGCTTCACACTATCACAAGATTCGTGATGCAGACATTGAAGGAAAAGAGTCTCCTCGCAGATCCACCTGGTTACTGACCTAACACCCTCAGAGGGAGACGGGACCATTCCCCTCCTAATGTAACACTCTCAGAGGGAACAGGCCCTACCCTCCTCCTGCTGTAACACCCTCAGAGGGAGACGGGACCACCTCCTCCTGCTATAACACCCTCAGATGAAGAAAGTACCACTGTCCTGATTTAACACTCACAGAGGGAGACAGGACCCTCTCCTGATACAATACCCTCGGAGTGAGATAGGACCACACTCTTGCTCTAACTCCTACAGACACAGAGCTTCCAGCTCCATTCAGATGAGGAACAATTAGCCACATCAGCCAGCATTCAGACTTAAGACTGGGTCCCACCTGCCTCTGTGCTGTTTTTACAGGGAATGTCTCACCTATTCCTCCAGCCAAGCCTGGCCCCAGCTCCAAGATCACTGCCATCACCTCCCCACATGCAGCCATAACCTCCCCATGTGGCAGCTTCAGATGTCATCTCCATTCGTGGTCACTGCTGTCAACAAGCACTGATCCTCCTATGTTTCTCAAAAGCCCTCTTTTATGTTTCACATAAGCAAAAACCCAGAAAACTCGTAACTATAGGAATAAAGTGACATACTTACAGTCCCATTATCTGGGGTTGCTCATTTTACAGTAAGCGTTAGGACATTTCAAAGGGGCTTAACACTGCACTGTTTGGTTGTATCTCGTAGACTGACAGTCCCACAGCAAGCAAGTACATATATTCGCTGCATGAGACTGTCCTATAATTTCTTTGGCTGGAGTGGGTTGGTCCTAATTACCCAAATTCCCCAGAAAGGCGGTAAGACCATGTGGAGACTGCATCCATTTCCTAGTCAGTGTGAGGCACTGGTGCCCTCCTCTGCCCTTTAACTCCCTCTGGTGAGGTCACTTCCATGGGCCTCATCCCTCAAGAGTGCACTGGGTGCTGGCAGATGGCATAGCACATGGCCACTTGGCATCTTCAAATGTCAAAAGCTCCTGGTCATCCCAGCTGTTCACCTGCAAGTCCCCCTGGGCAATCCCTCCACTACTCCACACAGGCCCCTCAGCTCCCACTGCCCACAACACTGTCTGCTGCTGTGCCTTCCCCACCCCACACAGACCTCAGCCCCACAGACTTGATCCTGCCCACACTGAGGTCCAGTAAGTGGACATATCATCATCAAAGCGCCTCTTAGGAAGAACCAGGGTTCTCAGGGCTAGTGCACTGCTCACCCTGCACAGGGGCCATTAGGACACAGACCAACTGAAATAAAGCAGATGTTACTTCTCAAAAACTAATGCATGAGTTGAGACTTACAAGCCGAGCCACCTGGAGGTTGGCCACAGTGGTGCCTGTGAGCAGGGCCCCGGGCCTAGGGGCGGTGACGGTGGTCAGTTGGGGGCTCTGCTGTTGTGGGGGCTGTTGGGGTTGTGCCTGCACCGGTGGTGTGGGTGTCGGGGGCCCCGGCTGGGGCTGTGGTGGCGCTTGCTGGGGAAGCTGCAGTTTTTGCTTCTGCATTTTGATCAAGTGTTCCTAAAATGCAAAGAAGTTGTCTCATCACAACATCTGGATGCTGCCATGCATGTAACACACTGTTCCAAAACACAAAGTCCTACTGCTGTCGAGGGGACGCTGACTCCAGGATCTCAGGGAAATGCACTGTCACAGCCTTCTCCAATGGAGCAGCTGGTGGGTTCAAACCTGACCTTTTTGTTAGGAGACAAACTCTTAGCCCCCAAGGTATCCCAAACATGTCCCAGTAGCTCCTATGCATAGAAACGCAAGCTGTCTGCCCACCCAGCCCTTGCCAACATTTTATTTAAATGTCATTGATTTAAAAATACCTAGGAAAACCAAACTCAGTCATTTTGATGGATTAGGAAATCATTTATCAAAGTATCTTGCCCCTTTTCCACCACAAACCAGTTCATTTAATGTGTCATCAGGCTTTTAAACAGCCTTATGGCTGTGGCTCTTCTTGAACATCCCAGATAGAGCCCAGGTGGGCAGTGGCCCCAGCACGGGGTTCCTGCAGGCTCAGGTGTGATGACCTGAGCTCCTGTGCTGCTGCAGGCACAGAGCCCCGAGCACCACGGAGGCTGTAAAGCTGGGGGTGGGGTGTGTGTGTGCTGGGCATTGGGAGCACCCACATCGAGGCTGCATGTCTGCAGAGCACCCTGCTCACCGGGCCCACAGACACAGGTGAGCTGTGCTCCTGGGGTGCTCACCGGGGTTAGTTTCCCGACGGCCTTGATCTGTGCCGGTGACTGGGCCTGGCCCTGGATCTGTGGGACCTGCACCTGGGAGGGCGGAGGCTGCTGCTGCTGCTGCCGGAGGAGCTGGAAGTGCGCGGGGGTGATGGTCTTCCCGGGGAGTTGCACGCCTGTAGCTGCAGAGAAAGGGCTGGTCATATTCCCTGCCCCCAACCCTCCGCAAGCAGACAACACACTGAACAGGCAGCTGGGGCTGCAGGCAGCTCCTTTACCTTGAGACACCTGAGTCACGAGAGACCGAGCTGGGGCCTGCACGGGTGTCAGGTTGGTAGTGACCACTGCCGGGGCGGTGACGGACGTGACCGCCCGCACACCCTGAGTTGTCGCCATGGACACCAGATCAGTGGTGGCTGTGGCTGGGGAGCCCACTGCTCGGGGCTGGGTATGCACCACCTGGGCAGGGTTTGAGCCCCCGGATGTCTGGAAGAGGAGGTAGAGGAACATGAAGCTGTATGCATGGGGAAGAGGGGTGCCAACACCAAAATCCTGGGAAAACATGGCCTGCTCTCAGGTCTGCGGCAACATAAAGAAACCTCGGAGGACAGGTCCCCGTGTGACTCCACAGGAGACTTCCATCCTCTCAGGGGTCAGGTCACCTGATCGAGCTGGACACCTGCAGGCTGCCCCCGGGCCTCACTCACGGACGGGTCCCAAGGAGCGTTACACTCCTGATGGTCCACCAGATGTTGTGCTCACTCCAAAGACAGCATCCCACCCACCCTGCCATCCCTCATCCTTGACCTTCATCTCAAGAGAAGCCATGATCCTGAAGCCATAAGCACCTCCTGAGCTTCAGGCTCCTCTCTCATGGAGCATCTCACTCCTAAGCCGTCTGCCTTAAGTCCCTGACTCCCAGCCAGTGAGAAAAGTAAGTCAAGATGGGAAAGACACAAAACTGGCATCAGCCAGCTGGGGGACAATGTCTGAGACACCAAGAAACAGGCAGCAGGCACTGGCAAGGTTCCCGTGACCACAGGTTTACCACCTGACATGGTCAGGGGTCAGCACCCTTGTCATCACTTGACACGTCCTGAGGTTATGGCCCAATGTGCATGTGGCTCTGCATCTCTGCTCCCACACCTGGGTCAGACACCTCCATGGAAGAGAGGACTCCTTGCCCTGTGCCCCAGCCTTGCTCAAAGGGCTGTGGTCACACTCACATCTGGACAGACATCTATGTGGGTGTGAGGACACCCTGTCGTGTGTCTGTCCTCACTCACAGGGCCACAGTCACACATCTGGACAGACATCTGTGTGGGTGTGAGGATAACCTATCCTGTGTTCTGTCTTTGCTCACAGGGCCACAGTCACACATCTGGACAGACATCTGTGTGGACGTGAGGAAGCCCTGTCCTGTGTCTGTCCTCGCTCACAGGGCCGTAGTCATACTCAGCATCTGAGTAGACATCTGTGTGGGTGTGAGGATACGCTATCCTGTGTCCTGTCCTCAACTCACAGGGCTGTGGTTACACTCACATCTGAGCAGACATCTGTGTGCATTTGAGGACATGCTGCCTGGTGCCCTGCCTTGCGCACCGGGCTCTGTCTGGAAGCTGTCACCATGTGCACATCTTCTAAGCGTCCCCGTCCTCCCTACACTTGCATGGTGGCAGAGCTGTGATGCAGCCTCGGGCCCAGCCACACGCACATGACCCACATAGTCACTCCCCTGGACGCTAGGTAGGTTCTGAAGTACCATATCTATCAGCTAGTTGTATTACCTCAAGTCATTTCCAGCTAAATCAGAGGTTACTTTTCTCACTACAGGGATGTTTGTAAAATTAAAGGCCAAGGGTGCTGGGTGAGACCACTCACAGGCAGAGCTCCAGATGCCACAGGAGAGGCAAGGCGCTTGTTGATGGACTGGAAAGTGGCGGCGGGAACGCCAGCGATGGTGTTCACAATCACATTCCCACTAACCGGGCCTGCAGAGAGAGACTGTAAGACAATGGCAAGAAAGTCCAGTGCCCAGTGCAGAGTCCCCGTTCTGCTCCTTACCGGCCGGCATGCTCGTCCCCGTGACGGAGGTTTTGATAGTGCCTGCCTGTTCAGGGAGAGAGTCTGTCTGAATTTGCTGTGCCCACTCTTCACCTGTCACAGCTTCAGCAAGCGTGTAGACAGCACACTAGGAAGTAGTGGTCCTCCCACAGCCAGACACATCAGAAGAGTGAGGGTCCTCAAGACAAATAGACCAAGGGAACAGCAGGCCCTCATCTGACAGCTCACATTGGGTTACATCGCCTATCTCTCCTGTCCTCACTCAGTAGGTTGCAAGGACTATCCCCTCTGTCCTCACTCTGTGAGGTGCATGGGCCATCCACTCTGTCCTCACTTTGTGGGGTGCACAGACTGTCTCTCCTGTCCTCACTCTGAGGTGCATGACCCATCCCCCTTCTGTTCTCACTCTGTGGGTGCAGGGACTGTCCTTCCGGTCCTCACTCTGTGGGGTACATGGTCCATCCCTCCTGTCACAGACTTTCCGTCTTGTCCTCACTCTGTGAGATGCATGGACTGTCCCTCTGGTCCTCACTCTGTGGGGAACACGGTCCATCCCTCCTGTCCTCATTCTGTGGGGTGCACGTCTCATCCCTCCTGTCCTCATTCTGTGCGGTACACGTCTCATCCCTCCTGTCCTCACTCTGTGGGGTGCACCCACTTACCAACACAGCTGCGCTGCTCCCCGAGGTTATTGCCGGCTGTGCCTTGGGCTGTGGCTGCACAGGCTGTGGTTGCGGTGGGGGCTGGGGCTGGGGCTGGGCCTGGCCAGCCGGCTGCCCCGTGGGCTGCTGGTTGGCCACAGGCTGAGGCTGAGGCAGTGGGGGTGGTGGCTGCTGCGGCTGTGGAGGTGGAGGTGGAGGCTGGGCAGGTTGAGCCACGGCTGGCTGCTGGGCCTTCTGCTGATCAGCCAGGGCCTGGACCACCAGAGGGAAGGACTAGTGAAGAGTTGCCCACCTCAGCACTGTCCTGCCAGGCCATGCCCCACCCCGATACAGGACCCTACCTACCCCTAATCTTCAGCCATAACTCTGTTATGAGGAGTCCCTGCCTCATAACACTTGGCCCTGCCCCATAACTCAGCTCCCAGCCCTGTCTTGCGCCCGACCTCCAAACTCAGCCCTGAAAGGTCCCAGACTAAGATGGTGCACCTTTTTCTCCTTGGCGATTCGTTCTGCACGGAGAGAGGCAACTTGGATTGGGGGCAGGGGTTTGTCATAGTTGATCCCACTGAGAAACAAACACAAGGAAGGAGCATGAATTGTGCCTGCGCCTGCTCCAAGGTAGATCAGGGTCAGGTCACCAAAAGGACCACACAGGCTGCCGGGAACTGCACACACAGTGAGACCTCACTGCAAAGAGCCCAATACCGCACCTCACCCAGGATCCTCACACTCCAGGTCACACACACCTATGAAGCCCCCGGAAACCACTACAGAGGGCCCAGCACCTGTCCCTCCACCAGGACCCAACCCTCACAGCGCTGGCCACACCTGGAATTAGTTAGTCCACACAGGGCTGGCCTCATTCTCAGGCTCATCACTACTGCTTCCCACCCACTGTCCAACAGATCACTAGGGCCGCCATGGCACATCCCCCAAGACCCTCACTAGTGAGGTGACACTGAGAGCTGTACACGATTGCAGAGACCAGGTCCCAACAGACGCACCTCTCTGCCAGGACGGAGGCATGCTTGGGGTTCTTCTGAAAGGGGTTCATGCCGAGCCTGCAGTGTGGGGAAGAAGAACAGGGGGATAAGGCGACAGGGTCAGGACAGTCAGGAGTCGTTGAGGCGGGGGGCAGTGACGTACAGCGGCTTGATCGGGGGGCTCCTCTTGCCCGCGGTCATCTTCATTAGGTCGAAGTGGTTGGTGTACAGCTGCGTGTGGGTGGCATTCTCATCTTGGGCGTAAATCTGGCTTGTACGCAGAGGACGGTTGTTTTTACTCTGAAATGAAGTGGGGTAGAGTCAGGATGGAGCCCAGCACAGTAGCTGCGTACTGCCAGCAGGAGTGAGATCAAGAAGGCCTGTGTGCTTCCTGGCAGGCCCACTCTCCAACAGGAAGGGGTGCCTCAAGTGGTGCCAGTACATGTGCAGTGACCCTGAAACCACACATAGGCCCTGCACACCACCAGCAGGGACGGTGCTCTAGCAATTCTGACAGTGTACAGGGCCCGCACCACATACACGCCTCCAGTAAAAACACCAAGGAAACACCTGTCCGCTGGCGTGAACAGACACCTGTTCTAACCAAGCAACGCTTGCTCAGCATGCGGGTGTCTCCAGAAGCTCTTAAATGCCTGCCACACACTCCATCACACAGAGAGGGTGGAAGCAGAGGCCTCAGATCAGCAGAGGGCCTGGCACTGGGAGTGATACAGGGGGCAGGTTGCAGGCCCTCCACTCACCTTGCCCTCCTCCCGGGGGATGATGACATTCTCGTAGCGGTTCCGGCACTGTTTAGAGGAGCGGTAGATGCGGCTGCAGGCATTGACGACATCACTGACCAGGTCCCAGTTGGGCGTGTGAGCAGGTGACACGACAGTGAGGTTCAAGGGCAGCTCGAGCAGCTGCTTCACAGCCTGGGAGGAAGTTCCAGGGTATGCGATGAGCGGGGTGGGTAGGTGTCCAGCAGTGTCCCCTTCTCCCACAGGCACCCACAGCACAGAGCATGGCACACATGTGCAGGACCCCCACCAGCATCAGCCCTAGTCCCCTGTCTCATGACAGAGGAGAAGGGATTCCCAGAGTTGTGTCACCCCCACCCTCCACCCACACCAGCAGGAGAAGGAACCCCCACATCTCTATCACCCTCCAAGCCTGTGTCCCTCTGCCGCCACCCATACCTGCAGGAGTGCCCAGTCCTCGCTGATGAGCCACTCAGGGCTGTCCTGGCCCGGCTCAGCGGCAGGCTTGGCGAATGTGGGCAGGGGCTTGGCGAACTGCGCCTGCTGCTTGAGCAGGATGTTCTTCTTCTGCTCCTTGCCCTCGCGGCGCATCTTGAGCAGACCTGGCGTGGCCCGGTCGAACAGGGAGCGGGGTGGCACCACCGCCTCCCCATGCCGCTGCTTCTTCTTCCGGCCTGCAGCTGGACAGAGGCACGCTCAGGGCGGCTCAGCCTCACGGCCACCGCGGAGGATAGGGCGCACAGCTCATGGGGGAGGGATAAGCACAGAGGACTCGCTCAGAGCATGTGTTTCATTTTTGTCGGCACAGGGAAGAGTGTGAAAAGGGACTGCCAGTTGGCAGTGTGCCACCTGGATGCAGCATCCTGGCAGTGTCCAGGTGTGCATGGATTGGGTGTATGGGGGCAAGGGCAAGCCTGGCCAAGGCGTGGTCCTGGAGGGAGTGTGGCTGGGGCAACCAGGGCTGGGGTGTGCATAGGCTATGGCGTTGTGTGGCCAGGGCAAGTGTGACCACACCGTGCGAGGCCGGGCCATGGCGGGGCATGTACCTGAGGGGTCGGTTTTGTGCCGCTTCCGCTCTTTCCTCACGTACACAGGTGGCAGCTTGGACTCAGGAATGGGAGTAGCCTCATACATGAGGCACATGACTGAGTCGATGTAGATGTCATTGTCATCCTGCGGGGGCGTGGGCGGCGTCCATAGCTGCACACAGAGAGGGACCCATTAGCTGTGCTGCTAACACAGCGCAACAGGAACAGAAGGGACAAAGCGGGGTCACTCACAGGCATGGTTTCCGTCTGTCCGTCTGCATCTTCACAGATGTACTCCTGGAAAGCACAACCAGTGCCAGAGTTTGATGGTCTCAGGCTCGCCACTGAGTCACTGCCCATCTAAATAAGCCTCCCAACAAGTGCCCTCAACAACTGTTCATAAAACTTCAGAGCCAAGTAGCTAGCAAAACTGCTCTAGCGCAAAAGAGCTCGGCTTTAAGGCCCAGTATTCACCAGCTCAGCCCTCAGGCTGGCCACACATACCATGTTGTAGGCATCGCCCCGGGTGTACGTGAGCAGCTCCTCCTGCTGCCCCTCCTCCTGAGCTGCCCGCTCCTGCAGGGTCCTCGCGTTCTGGGCCTCCCACTCCTTCATGGACGCAAGTGCCACATCCTGCGGGAGCAGCGATGGGAGGGTGGTTCACTAGATCTCACCCCTTGGTAAACCTCTGCCTGTCTCCACTTCTCCCCCTTCACAATCACACAGAAGCCTGCAACACTCCCACCTGCCGAGGAATGTCCTCAGGGCCCACACCACTTCACACACATAACTCTACTTAACACCTGCTGTCCTGCAGTCAGTCGATTCGGACTCAATGACCCCATAGAATAGAGCAGAATGGCCCCTCTGAGCTTCTAAAACTGCAAATCTTTAGACCATCGCCCTTGGGTCAGCAGTCAAAGGCCAAAACTACAGCAACACCAGCGAGCTCCTTTAACCAACACCAAGCCATCTCAGACCAAATGAAGGGATGGACAGTTGAAGAGGGAGCTGGATGGGCACCAGCACAGCTTCTGGACACAGGGGGGTGTCTCTTTCCTTCAAATCATGAAGCTACTCCTCCTTCCAAGCAAACCCAAGACCAGGGAGCGGAGACCCTGTAAGTCACGTGAACAATAGCCCCTCACCTCGGCGCGCTCCTTCTCTTGCTCAATGGACGTGTGGAACAACTCCAGGTAGTTTAGAGCGTACTTCTCAATGGGTGTGAGCTGTTTCAATACAGGGACAGTGTTCACAACAAGTTAACGAAGGCTGAGTTCGTCCTTGTATCATCCCCATTCCAGAGTGTCAACCACACACAATCATCTTGGTCAAAGGAACACGATGTGTCGAGGGTCACTGGTCCCACACAGCCATCCGGGAGAGCACGCACCTGCTCCATGAAGTCAGCCAGCTCCTCCCACTGTGAGGGCTCCTCTTCGAGTCCTGAGTGGTCTGCGCCTGCCGGCGAGGCATCTGCCCTCACTCCCTCCAGATCCTCCGAGGGCCTCTGTGCGTCCTCCTCCAGGTACTCAATGCTTTTCAGGGCCTGGTGGGTTTCACATTCAGATAACGTAGCATTCAAGAGGACAATGTTTTAAACCAGAAGTATACACACACGCAATCCCCAGTAACCAAGGAACCAAACTCCAGAGCAAGATTTCCAACCATGCAGAGGGGCTAGTGGTAGCCATTTCAACAAGATTTGTCCATGTACCAGGTCTGTGGTCTTGGCACTGTGGCCCGAGCAGAAAATAAGCAGTCCCCATGACCATGAGCCCCTGGGACACTGTCCCCTGAGAACAATGCCCTCATAGAGCATTGCCTCTCCTGCACCACTTCCTGCACCTAGCATCAGTCTTTCAGGAGGAAGGATGGGGCCTCCTCAGGCTGGGGTCCTCAGGCTGGGGGGCAGCATGCTCACCTCTATGAACGGTCGTGCAATTTTTGGTGCAATGGCCTCTGTGGCAGAAGGTTCTTGGGAGAGGACCACAAACTCCTCCGCTTTCACTGGGAAGCCCGTGTCCTCCATGGGTGAGGACACCTCGAACAGCTCCTGGATTGTACGCTGAGCACAGGAAACCACGTCATGTTCCCGCATGGGGGACACAGCCAGAGCACAGAAGCCCGAGAGAGCGAGAGGTCACCACAACATGGTGCCACAAAGTACACCCTCTCAGTCAAGGTTGGCCCCTGCCACACCTCTGCCCACCCCCATGCACCCGCCTGCACCACAAACCTGCCCGGGCCACGCACCTGTGTCAGGAAGGCCATGGAGTAATCATTGCCCTGAGCTGCCACCTCCCGGATCAGGTCTTTGGTGCCGTTCTTGAGTAACTTCTCTTCAATGGAATTGCCACTTACCAGCCTGCAGGCCACAACACACAGGGCAAGTGAGGGTCAGGCTTACGCCTTAGACACAAGGACAGGGAGACTGTGTCATGTACACGGGATGTGTCACCGGGGGGACCACACTGTCGGCTAGTTCACAGAGAGCTGCACTGCTGACCCAAAGGCAGCATCTCACTGACGGTTCACGCCCTCAGGTAACAATCTGGGACAGAGATGGGCAATCTCTTCCCGTGTGATCTACAACCTCAGAAGCCAGAGGAGGGTCAGCAATTAGTTTGTTCCAACTCAACAGTGAGTCTGAGCTCTGAATTGCTGGAGCAGGACGAGGGGAGGGTAAATGGCAAGAGACGACACTTACTAAGGTGGACTGACAGTGGCTGCACCTACGGGCTCACACAGCAATGACCGCTTCCTTTTCTAGTGTGTGGGGCTGCCCTGATAGCAACCCACATCAAGAAACGGGGAGAGACCATGGCTAACCTGAGAGGACACGCCTGAGTCACAGGACTGAACCACACATCACCATACAGAGCTGCAAGAAAGGTGTCTGCAGGAAAAGGGGACACAGTCTCTCTCTCACTGCCAGGGAGTGGAAATCGACTCAGAGCCATCCCCCCACTGGGCTTCTGAGCTGTAAATGTCATGGGAAGAGATTGCCCATCTTTCTTCCAAGGAGCCAGCAGGCCTCAACCACCAGAGAGCTTTGGGTTAGCAGTGCAATTCCCTATCGCCTGTCACCAGATATCCCGGACACAAGTGAGCAAATGGCAACAGGAAACTGTCTCTTTAAGCTGCCGCAGCATCCTTGCACCACCGCACTCCACCCCACTTCACAGCTCTCTGAGGCTCCCTCAACCTCAGGTCACCTGTAAATGTGGATGTCCTTGCAGCGTCCAATCCTGTCACACCATTCCTGGGCCTTGGCATCCATCACCGGGTTGAGGTCGTTGTCGTAAAACACGACTGTGTCTGCCTCCACCAGGTTCACACCTGTGGAGCGGCTGTGAGTTGAGAGGATGGCACAAAAGATCCGCCTGTCTCTGTTGAAACTCCTCATCAGCTCCTACGTAAACAAATGCTCAAGTCAGGACTCCTACTAACCATGGGATCCTGACATGTTTTCTACTTATCACCAAAAATGACCTCACAATAAAACCTCTTCTTTGTATCCGTTTGACACATGACCTGTCAGCGTCACCTACGGTGACACGAGTTTATAGTTCTTTCAGGCTCCTTCTTGTGTTCACATAATCTCTCAATCACCACATGCCCTTCGTCTAACCATGCATCTCTCACCTACCGACCACACAGCCCTCATTTCTCACTAACTGGCCACACATCTCACTTCTCCTTTACTGACCAACAATCTCTCAAGGACTAGCTACAGGAGTGGGCAGGGGAGGCTCCACGGTACACTGTACTGTCAGCTCAATGTGTAGGCCCCAGAGGAAAGGAGATTCTTCCTGGGGAGGGACACGTGCTTTCTTATCTATCCTCAGGCAATGCCAGGGCACTCTACAGGTGAGAAGCCCCTGGAGTAAGGCTGAGGAAGCTGGAAGTAGCCAGACCACCTTACATTGACTGTAGTCTATTTGAGACAACTGGTTAACAACTCCCTTTACCTCACAAGACAGCGTCATACTGCATGCCTGGCTCGTGACAATGAAAAATCAGCTATTCAGTATTTGAAAGCCCAAAGAGATAAAGACAGTCATTCCAGAGTACAGTCACAATGTGGCTATTACGATTACCATAAAACAAAAGGTGCACAAACAGATGAAAGGAAGATCAACTTTCATTCAAACCACAACAGACAGCTTCCCCTCTTTATTTGTCAGAGTCATTCCCTACAATGACTGAACTTCCAGAGCTCTTGGCAGGGAGAGTGCACGGCAGCCGATGCTGACCCCGTTAGGCATGCAAGAGAGTCAACGCTGGCCTCACCTGCCGCTGCTCGCTGTTGGCGTTCTCATCGATCCGCACGTAGGTGAGGTAATGGAAGTTTAAAAACATCTCTAAAATGTCTAACATGAGGACCATCTGTGATAAGATCAGTACACGGCGTCCTTCTGACTTCAACTTCTGAAGCAAGATGGCCAAAGCTTCTAATTTTCCTGTGGGAGGACAGGGCTGATTATGTGGTCTTAGGAATAAGTGTCTCAACACGTTGGCTGTGACTGGTCTATACCCGAGGGATGATCCTCCCCACACAATAGCTGACTGCCGGTGCCCCATACCTGAGGGACAATCCTCCCCACACAATGGCTGGCTGTGGGTGCCCCAAACCCGAGAGACCATCCTCCTCACTCACCAGCTGTGGGTGCCCCGTACCCGAGGGATGATCCTCCCCACACACCAGCTATGGGTGCCCCAAACTTGAGGGACCATCCTCCCTGCTCACCAGCTATGAGTGCCCTGTACCTGAGTCAAACTGCACCAGTCTGAGCTCTGGGAACTGCAGCAGGTGGGGAGCAGTGATTCGGCGCAGCTGCTGGATGTGGGGGCCCACATGCTCTCGGAGGCCTTGCTGGAGCAGCTGCAGCCTGCGGCTATAGGATGAGGGTGGTCTGGCCACCCGCAGGTTTGGAGGTGATGCTACCACAGGGGGGATCACACATGCCACCCTAGGGGAAGAGCAGGTCGGTCACCATGAGGCACCTGACAGGCCTGGGGCACATAATGGCCTATAACCCCACCACACGCCGCCTCTGCAGGAAGGTCCTGAACAAGTACAGTGACAGCCTCATCTACACTGCCATGGTGACATGACAGCTGGCCCGCACATCCTCCCCCAGTGCAGCTGTGGGGCAGGACTCCCAGGGCACACTGGAAGTACACTTGCAGCGTGGTCACTCCTCCTGTCCTGTCTCTCGTATTTGTAAAACAGACTAAGAGCCACAGTCACTGCCTCTCGACATGACGACTCAGGGTGAGCCCCAGGAATAAAGTGAACGTCCAGAGGGGCTGTTAATTACAAGGGTGGAAAGAGTCAGGGTGTGCCCCAGGTGGACACACCTATCTGTAACATCCTGCAGGTGCTCTGCATGTTGGCTCAGCATCAAACTCAGGTCACTCTTGCTGCTGGAGGGCGTCACGCGTTTCCTGAGCCGAGGTGCCCCACCTTGAGTGGCCAGGGAGCAGATCCCCAGCAGATCTCGGCCGTAGATGGGCACTCGGGAGCAGCGACGCTCGTTGACAAGGAAGATCTGATCCAGCCGCTCCTTCAATAGTCTGGCCCTCTCCTCCTTTGTCAGACAGAAGTGAGGAAATAGTTATGGAGACTCAGCAACAAAGGATCTTTCCCACATCCCAGGATCCCCTCATGCTCAGAACCCCATTGCATGGCACATGCAAATGCACAGGCCCTCTGTCTGCAGGAAATAGGGACAGAGAGGGCCCAGGGGTAGCCCAGTGCCCTAACAAGCTGAGAAGTATTTCAAGGTAGAGGTGTGCATTTCTGACGCCCAGAAGGGCTTCTGAAGAACACAAACAATGTGAAGGATCGTAAACTTGTTCTATTCCCTTTACAAGAAAATGGGTGCTTCAGAATGAAAACTGTGCTCCTGCAGAGAGCCTCCAAGTGTGTACAGGGTAGAGGGACAGAGGACAAGTAGTGCTGGAAAAAAGGGACAAGCAGGGCCATTGGGCAGTAGTACCTGAGTTGGAACTCCAAGGGGCGAGGCCGGCTTGGGGGCCATCCCAGGGTCTCCAGAAGTCAGGGGGTTAACTGCCACTCGACCTGGAACACCGACTGGAAAGGCAAACTAAAGAATCAGAGAGAAACCCCAACAATCCCCAGGCCTGGCTCTACTACTAGCGTTATCTCCTAGAACTGCACCCAGGACACTGTTCTGGAAGCAAACTCCAACATGTGTCTCCCACATGGACAGGAAGAGGCTTCCTCACTCAGCTACAAGGAGCAACAACTGTCACATGCCAAGACAGATTGAGACACGAACAAACGAGAGTGGACTCAGAAATACAGCTCCCCCGGAGGAAACACACATGAGCAAGTGGGACCTGCTCCAGGGACAAGCACAAAGCTCAATACAAGAGCCGAATCACTCCATAGTCCTGACAGGGGCTACCCCCAAGACTCTGAGAACAAGGCACTACACCAGCCAGCACACATGGACACCAAGCACACACAGTCAAATAACAGGCACACTGAAGGTGTCCTGAGAACACTGATGGGTCCTCATCCTCAGGTAGCAGGGAGAGTGGTTGGCATATCCCCTCACTGGGACAGAACTGATGCAGCCTGAGTGGACAGGGAGTTAGGTTTGAGCTACTCTAGATCGAGGAAGTCAGAGATCAGGCTAAGTGAGGGGCAGAGCAGGCATAGCTATAGGATGACGGTAGCAACAGGCCTGTGGTCTGGCTGGGACAGAGGGACTCGGGGCATTAGGGAGATGAAGTGATGTGAAAATGGAAGGCTTGCCCCTCCTTGTAGCATGAACATCCTACAGCGACTCACAAGTAAATGAAGCTACTGATGTTCTAAAGCTGTCCCTGTGAGACTCGGAGAAATGAGCCTGAGCTGTTCTCAAGTCCTCACACTCAAACAGGGAGGGGGAGCATCTAATACGCTGCACATCACCTCAGTTGAGACCAAGCCTAGGAAGGCCACTCTGTTCAGCAATAGCCTAGGGTTGTTGGCGCCCAGCAGGCCGTTGGCTCCAGTGCTTCTGTGTCCCTTCTCTAAGAGGCACAGAGGAGCTCCATGCTTCACCTTCACAAGGTATAGGTAGCCCCTGGCTTCCCTCACAGGGTGCAGCTGGCACCTTACCCTCCCTGAGATGGAGTTCCCCTCTGGGTGCCTCCTCCAAGCTGAAAGCTCTCACAGTTCCTCAGCCCTGGACTGGAGCTGCTTCTACGTTCCTAAGCCTTGGGGCCACAAGCATCATCAGCAGAGTCTCTGCAGGAACATGTCTCTCATACCAGCCAGACTGCTGACTGTTTCAGAGACAGGCCTCAGAACCCCCCACTGAAGGGCCTGGGACAGCACAAGGCACAGTCTCAACCATATAGACTCAGAGGCACAGTCAAAGGAATCAGGGTGGGCAGTGATATTAACGCCCACCATGCCTCCAGGAGAATGGAAAGACAGTGTGGGGCAAGGAAGGGGTACGTCTTAGGCTCTTTGTACCTGTGCACACTAAGTGAGCAGGATGTGGAGGCAGGTCCCTCAGTGAGGGAGACGAAGAGGAGTGAGTCAGGACAGGGGAGTTCCCCCATGAGGGGGACATGCAGTGAGCTCTCAGTGAGGAGGCCATGGAGGAAGGCCCTCATGAGGGGGACATGGAGGGAGGTCTCTCGGTGAGGGGGATGTGAAGGAGTGGACCTGGGCTCCCTCTGGAGGTTGATCAGAGGTATGCCTATAATGCGGACAGCTGTGTTAAGTTATTAGAGGTTATGTGCTTAATCTGGGGTCCCTCCATTCCAGCTGTGCCCCTAACTCCTGACAGGCAAAGGATGGCCACGTGCTGGACCAGGAAACCTCAGTGGTTTGGAGGACAGGGCTGGTGACAGGAACCTTAGGAAAGCAAGGTAGAGCTGGCCTGGGTGTTGGCACCATAGACAGGTGACCTGACCACACAAACTGGTGGCCTGTGAGTGTACCTGGTGAGAGGCCACTGGCGGGAAAATGGAGCAGAGCAGGTGCCTACAATCCTCAGACATTTCAGCAGGGCTACCTGGGATACACAGCACTCAGCCACTGCTCAGTACTAGACACTGGTGACAGAGACGAGTGAAGACTGACAAGCACTGGGTTGTCAGCTCACAGGGACCAAAGAGGGCACCCTTGTTGTTGCCACTCTGTTCAGGACTTCTACCAAAGAACAAGCTAACAGGAGTAAGGCCCAGCCAAGGACAAGTGTGGGGCCACAGAGTGAGGGCTCAGCCCTGCCCTACAGGACAGATGTGCCAGCATCAGCAAGAGCAGAGATGACACAGGAAGAAGCAGACCTCCATGCCTCCAGCAGGGTCCTGTACACAGGCCCCCACAGTGGCATCGCCCCAGGCCAAACAGTGAGAAGCCCAAACCTTACTGCAATGTGCTGGGGTCCCGAGATTATCACAGAAGCCAAGACATCAGAAAGAAGGTAAGGACAGGTGCTTCCTCCTGCCCAGGGGGCACTGTACCTTGTGGGGTCAGGGGTGTGGGAGCTGGGGTGCCTGCTGGGGGCTTTCCTCCAAGGGCGTTGAGGGCACCATGCACAGCCCCGGCCTGGGACATGGTCTGCATTACCACGGGGCCCGGAGGGCGCAGATAGGGCTGCCCAGGAGCCGAAACGATCTGGAGCACACTGCCTGCAAACAGAGCAGAGATGGCAGTCAGTCACAGGTCAGGTCAGCAATGCCGTGCCTGTCAGCCACGAAACTGCCAGGCCACAGGCCACAGGTCAGCCATGCTATGTCTGTTAGCCATAGGCCACAGGTCAGGCCACAGGTCAGCCACTCTGTGCCTATTAGTCATGAAACTGTAAGGCTATGGGCCACCAGTCCACCATTCATCAGCCTCGCTGCCTGCAATCACAAAGCACAAGTGGCTGTTAGCCACTCGGCCATTAGTCACGTGGCCATCTGGCAGCACATGGCACAGAGCAGCATGTGACACAGGTCGCATGCCACAAAAGCGGCACCTGACTATCCTCATGCTGGGAAGGTTGGGATGGAGCCAACAGCTGCCACTTGAAGGAGCGTCGCTCTATTTGGGAGTTCACTCACTAAACCCACAGGCAGTCTCGCATTCCTGTGTCCATCGCCTACGTGTGTGCGTTATAAACCAGCTAAAGGACTAGGTCCTGGTCTGGACCTTTAGATGAAAAAAACAGGTCTCATCTATGATGAAAAGTTGATGCTGCCAGGTGCCAAGACTGGTGACTCATGGAATCTGTGGTACGGGGGCTCGGGGCAGCCCCGGGATGGGACAAGGGACTCGGGGTGTTCCGGGGGCTCAGCTCAGGTAAGGTGGCTATTAGCTATCAGATCCAGCTGCACGGCTCCCAACACCACGTAAGTGCTAGGCCCTGCCAGGAAACAAAAGGAAGTTTCTATGGAAACATCCCTGCTGTCCTGTGACTCAGGGCTGCCCAGCAGTTGTGCTCCAGGGTGACTGAAAGACTGAGTCCAGGCGGACCCTCTCCTGTAGCCATCCTGAGAGCCCCGTCCAAGACCAGCTGCCACAGGAGCCCCATGTAGACACAGAGCCTCGCCCCACTCAGCCACCCTAGGGGCACTGAGGGGCCGATGCACCTTCTCAGGGAAACAAGGACAAGTGGTGAGCATCACCAAAAGATCCTGGATGGAAATAGGTCTGTATGGGAATGATATTCTTCCATGTCAACTGTTAAAACTCTCATCTTTTAGGACAATCTGTGCCAACTAAAACTGTAAAGTATACCATGTCTCCCATCTTTACTGAAACACAGGAGCCTCTTTGCAAAGGGCAGATGTTACGACGAAAACCACCATCGTATACTTGAGGTGTGTCAGGTACCAGGTGATCAAGAGACCCAGCAGGTCATCTCTTCTGTCCCTCAGAGACTGCAAGGCAACCTGGAGCAAGTGGCCAGGGGCTCAGCTGGAGTCGCCTTCATAGGCAGCGTGCTGGTGCTGGGTGTGGTTTGACCACAGTGGATGTCACAGCAAGTGATGGTTTCTTACCTTGCAGCTGCAGGGGCTGGCCAGCGGTCAGCTGCCGGAGCTGGTTGTGTGACAGAGTAAACTTGTTTCCTTGGAACTGAAGGGTCACGGGCGTCTCAGGCTGAGCAACACGGTTCTGGGTCCCCGCGATGGACGCTAGTTGGGCAATTTTTACCACCTCCCCACCTGTGGAGACGAGGCGGTGACGGCAAATTAACAACACTCTGTGAGGAGCACGAGCCGGCTACGAGGTGGCCCCTTGTGTGGGGTGAGCACCCCGGCGAGCTTAAGGGTCACGGAGACAGACATGCACGGAGACGGCTGTCTACCACTTTCAGAGAGAAACTATATCCACAGAAGAGAGAAAACAAGAGTGAGCATCGGATTCTAACCATTAACTTATTTAATCATGACTGGTGGGATTCTGACATCCAATAGTAGCCAAGCTGTTTGAGAATAAGTTACTTTTCTCCCTGAAGAGTAAGGAAGGCTGCAAACACTAAAAGTAGCAGAAATCTATTCTTAAAAACTTGGAAACTCGCATATCAACCTCTGCACTTCAAAGAATTTTCAAAATGTGGAAAAAACGAGAAATCCAACTGAGCTCCTGGAAGGAGGCAAGTTAAGATTTTATCACTACAAAAACCCCACCAGCGACTGGCCTTGGGCACAGCAGTCCCATGAGACAGGGTGGGGCAGCCCAGACACTGCAAGACTGTGATCATCCCAAAGCCCCTGGTCTCAGCTTTCTCTTGCTGAGTGGCTGGTCAGTTAACAGTCCACCATCCAACCTATGCACACCAGAACTCCTACAGCTTTAAAAAGGAGCACTTTCAGCCACACCCAGTGCCTCTCAGAATCCGAGAGTCTATTTAAACGTATCAATAAACGTGCAGGTGTAGTCTGAAAATAACCTCACACTGTACAGAAGCCGCTCGATGGGTCAGCTGAGGAGCTTCATCCTGGCTGGACTCTGGTGTGAGGACGTGCTTCTCAGAGGAAGCCCACTGCCAGGGCAGCTGAGTCCCAGACCGCCAGCCCCACTCCTGAGTTGATATTCGAGCCTCCAAGTCCCTCCCCAGAAAACCCACGCCAGGATGGTTAGTGAAATCATGAGAAGTTAGTAGAGACCAGGAAACGCGGGTCTGGAGCTGTCTGTCCAGGACAGAGGGAAAGAGAAACCCCGACCCTGAGATGAACCCTCCTGCTGGGCTCTCAGCCCACTGAGGACAGAATGGGCTCACTGCACACATCCCCCCTATCCCAACAAGAGGCTGTCTGGCATGACCACAGGTGACTCTTGTCCCAGGGAGAGGACATTTAGCCCTAGAAAAACTTGAACTAAGCAAGGGCATTTTTCCCTCAAGAAAATCAGTGGAAGAAAGACTGTCTTGAGGAAAAACAGGCTTCAGGCTAGCATCTCCTTAAGTTGCTTCACTCTTCCATCTCTCCAGCGAGGCCGGGCAACAACATAATCCCTACAATATGACTTTCTGAGATGCCAAAAAACATAGGGAACAGCTCAGATCTGGGGACACACTAATCTCAGTGACCACTATAAACAGCTGTATGGTTTTTTTTTTTTTAAAAAGTTAATGAGATCTGTAGAGTTTAGCTGCTAAATTGTCACAACGTCCCTGACTCAAATGATAACTCCGCTTAGATGTGGTGTGAGGTGAGCTACCAGAACTGAGAGCTGTGGGCGCCTGGAGCGAGTGGGAAGGGTGGCACAAGCCTTCACGTAGAAAACACGCCCCTTGAGCACAGCCGGCCATCGAGGGGACAAACTGTGTGCTAAATGTGTGAGCTCTGTCAGCCGCACCCCAGCAGTGCAGTGTGGCATGAGGAAGCAGAGGGAGGATGTGGGAGTGAAAAGAGAGTAGGACAGGAAGAGATGGGCGGGGACACTGGCCTGAGGAGCCACATCGCCTTCTCGGGCCAGAGCTACTGCAAGCAGCACCGGGGAGGATCAGGAGAGACAGGGAGTGGATAGCAGAGGCCCCTCACTCACGCCAGTGTTCGAGGAACAGCTCCTCTGGGTCAGAGGGCAGAGACCTGGGAAGGTCAGGCCACTTACTCGGCAACCGAGCCTGGGCCTGGGCGGTCAGCACCAGCCTCGGGGGCAGTGCGCTCTGCGGGGTGTTGTGCGCGGGGGCCGGGGCCGGGGGCAGGGGCGGGCCGGGGGTCGAGGCCGGGGCTGAGGTCGGGCCCCTCAGGCTGGCAGGATGGGCTGCACTAGCTGTGGAGGTGAAGGTCGCGGTGGGCTGCTGTCTTGGAGCACTGGAGGAGGCCGGGGGTGGCTGACACTGTGTGGCCGCCGCTGCAATCGATAAGGCGTGTTTGCGCAAAGCTGTTAGAGGTTCTCAACAAAATGCAACGTTTACACCCGAATTTCAAAGAAATAAAAGAACATTCTCTCATACTGTTTCTCTAGCGAGAGGTCCACATACTTTATAGGTGAGAGAAATCTATTACACCTTCTGTGAATTATCTTCACTTGGATGATAGGCTGCTACACAGTCAGTCAGGTTTCTCAGCGCCAAGTCACCCTCAGATGTGAACATCGTTAGAGCTCTCTCTCGCACACACAAACACACGCTCACTTGTACACACACACAGTGCTTCTGTTCTTACCTTTCTTTCAGGGAGCTCTGTGACAAGGCAGGTCTGAGTGTTTATTCCTATCTCACAAAAATGCAGAAGGAACACTGAAAGGCCCTTGTTTGGAAGTTTAAGTATGACTTTTGTCACCTGTGCCATTGTTCAGTGGCACCCCAATTCAAAGGAGCGATCAAGCCAGTGTGAACATGATGAGAACAAGATCTCAACACCCTTCACACACCTGACACCTGTCCACCCCGTGAGTAAAGACCTCTCCACCATCGTCCACTCCATCCCCACAGACAGCTACGCAGCCAAGATGTGAACAAAAGGAAAACCTGGTTCAAAGAAGGGTCTAAATTTCCCTGTGGACACTGCATGGCTGGCTGGAACGCAGGGTTCCGTGGAGATGGCCACCTCACTGCGGGCAGCAGCCCTGCCCACTTACCTTTTGCATCTGGATTTGCAGAGAAGGTGGCAATGGGTGGCCGTCCTCGGACCTGGCCCTGAGGCGTGGTGGTGGGGGCTGCAGCGGGTGTGGCTGTCCGGGGCGGGTGGGTGCTGGGGAAGGCTACAGTGCGGCCCTCGGGCTTCTGGCCATATTGCACAGGCTGAAACAACCTACATGACCGTGGTGATGACAGGAAGGCAGTCATGAGATGCCGGGGTACGGGCCAGCCTGAGCAAGTCACACACACAACCACTACAGTGGGCACTCAAGTAGACGTGGGAATGCTGGGCACAAGGTTATCAAAGCTCAAGCAAACAAGAATGGGGACGACGGTTCTAGAAGCAGGTAACCAGTCACAGCGAGTTCTTTCCACTGCCAGTGACCCCACATAAAGTCCTCTCATGCTTGAGGGAAACTTTCCAAGGATCATCGTCCATGGGAGAGAACATGAATGGGAAAGATGGGAGGAGTAGGGATGGGGATACAAGTGAAGATGGAGGGGAGAGGAGGGATGGGGGGAGGATGGGGGGAGATGAAAAGGGACAGGGTGGGGAGGAGGGATGAGAAGAGATACAACAGGGAAAGGGGAGAGGAGGGATGAAGAGAGAGATAAGGGACAGACAGGACAAGAGAGAGAAGGGTTGAGGAGGGATGAGGAGCTGGGAGAGTGTAAAGATGAAGTGGGGAGAGGAGAAACAGAAAGGAAGAGATGAGGGATGAGGGGCGAGGAGGGATGCGGAGGCGAGGAGAAAGTGAGGCCGGGAAAGGGGGGTACCTGCTTGGCTTTAGCTTCACAGCGACAGGTCTGACTGAAGACGGGGGTGAGGTGAAGATTTCTTCAATGAGCTTCCGTGTGATTTTTCTCTTTGACAGCAATTCTGCCTCATGGCGCGTAATTTTAGTTTCTAACCCAAGAAGATCGAATACAGAGAGGTCTGCTTCCTGAGGAAAGAGGAAAACCAATTCCTGCTCAGCCCCAAAGCCAAGGCCTTGATCGACCCTGGGGACACCTGTCAGTGAGACAGCAGAGGCCAAAACACAGCCTGCACTCAGGGAACCCACAGCCAGCTCCCAGCATCACAGGCCAGCATCTCTTCGAGGATGGCATCCACGATCATAGCAGCTTAGCACCCACCTGCCAGGAGGGCAAGAACCTAAGGAGGGTCAATGACAGCTTCTCACTCAGGGGTGGGAATGCAGAGTGGGGCCCTGCTGTGTAAAACAGGCCACCAGATCCTGAAAACAGGCCAGAGCTACAAGGGCAATTCTGCATTTGTGTCCAAGGACAGAAAGCACTCATACAGACACACAAGCACACCCATGCTTGTTTACAGCAGCACTGCTCATGACTGACAAATAGAGAGAGAACAGTGACACTTATCCATTGCAGGACAGACAGAGTGTGGTCCCACAGCTCCAGGACCACACCTCAGCTAGAAAGAAGGTGGTGTCCTGACAGAAACTACATCCCAAATGGATCTCAGAGACATCCTGAGTTATAGGATCCTGGATGGGAAATGTCCAGAAATTCACAAAGAGGAGATGAGTGCTTGTCACGGCTGAGGGGCTGTGTATGAGTGTGAGGTCCATCCCAGCAGACAGTAGCAGGAGTTGAATGATGCTGTGAGCAAAACACAAGCACAGAGCTGCTGCTTTCCTACACCATCACTCCTCCCAACAACCTGGAGGAAAACCTGCTTAACTTGAGGGAACTCTGTGCCCCAAATAAAGGCAGAGCCACTGAGTCAATTCCAACTCACAACAACCCTGTAGGACAGAGCACAACGGCCCCACAGCGTTTCTGAGGCTCTGATTTTAAGCACTGCACCTATGGCGGAGTGACCAGCTTGTTGGATTTTCAACCTACCTTCCAGAAGTCCCTGTCCAGCGCCCTGAGAAGCAGAGAGGGAGCCCGGCACTCCAGGGAGCCTGCGACATAAGAGGAGCGTGGCCGTCTGGCCTCCACAAGCCCTGGGTGGTTGCAGATGCGCTGAAGTTTCACCAGGATGTTAAGGACATTGACAAAGTGCCCACTCTTGAGGGCTTCTTGAGTTCTGTATGAAAAAAAGGACACTGTGCCATGAGGCTGCCTACTACCACACAGCCTGCCTATTACTACACAGCCTACTTCATGTGACCTGCCCATTATCATGCAGCCAGCCTCAGGTAGTCTGACTGTTACCATGCAGCCTGCCCCACGTGGCCTGCCTATTACCACGCAGCCTGCATGGCCTAGTTCTTCTCTAACACCAGAACTCCAGTAGTTTGTTAAATACTGTTCTCTGATTCACTCCTGATCTCACCAAGAAATGTGGAATCACAGTGGTGGGAACAAGGGACAACCATGGGCCAACATGTCTCATTGAATAGCTGTAAAATTCAAACCAAGTCCATAGCCATGGAGCTGGTTGGACACAACACAATGCTTTAGGACAGGGCAGAACCACTGCATAGTTTATGGTCTACATGGAGCCCAAAGGCCTCATCTTTCTCCCATGAAGTAGGCGTGCACTCAGTCGGCTACTCTTTTGGTCACCCACTGTCACCAGGGTTCTTTTCTATACACAGGTCAAGTTGTTTCCTCTAGACTAGACCCTCCTAGTTATGGGAGAGCAGCAGAGCTGACAGGTGCATTCCAACATCCCATGGGTGCTGTGAGCAGGCCCAGGCACTGAGGGCACGTGTGGAGCAGTGGGGTCTGGGCATGAGTGCACACATGGGGCATTAGGGGCTGACCTGAGCATTGAGGGCACGTGTGGGGCAATAGGGATGGGCACTGACAGCACACATGGGGCGATGGGACCAACTCGGGCACTAAGGGCATGCACTGCCTCTCATCTGTGCACTCGGTGTCTGTCTGCAGTGTTTGAGAAGGAAGGACACGGAGAGGCCATCAGGTCCTCAGCTGCCCACTGCTGATGCTGTCTATAAGGAGGGGTACAGATGGACCCCAAAGGTAGACAAGGACTTAAACTTTGCACTCTAAACCTTGCCCTGTGATTCTTCAGTGCCAACAGTACCAGAAAAATCTTCAAAATGTGTGGGCATTAGCTGGGGCCTTTCCTATTTGTAAGCATATCCTCCTCACAAGATTCTCAAGTTCCTCATGGGAGGGGTAACGTGGCTCATTCCCAACAATGCCCCACTAGGAAGACCATGTACTCTGCACCCCAACTTCACACTCTAGGGGAGCATCCTGGAGGTCACAGACACCCTCCCACCAAAGCAGGACCAAGAGAAGCCAAGGCAAAGAGGGTCATCCTGGACCCAGGGCAGCTGGACAGACTGCTGTCAAGGACACATGGTGGACAGAGAGCAGAGGTAAGAACCAAATCCAAGTACACAAAAAATTCTCAAAGGGACTGGTGGTGGTCTCCCTCCACTTATAAGATGGAAAGCATGAGTGTGAGTTCTGAGGAGCAAGGAAAAGAGTCACTGGATTCTGAGGAGGAAGGAAGAAGGTCACTGTGGGTTCAGAAGAGGAGGGAAGAAGGTCACTGTGGGTTCTCAGCAGCAGGGAGGAGGGTCACTGTGGGTTCTGAGAAGCAGGGAGAAAGGTAGTGGTGGGTTCTGAGGAGCAGGGAGGAAAGTCATGGTCGGTTCTGAGCAGTATAGAGGAAAGTCATGGTGGGTTCTGAGGACTAAGGGGTCACTGGCAATTCTAAGGAGCAAGGAGGAAGGTTATGGTGGGTTCCAAGGGGCAGAGAGTGGGTCACTGCGGGTTCTAAGGGGCAGGGGAGGGTCACTGCAGGTTCTGAGGGGCAGAGGGAGTGTTACTAAAGGTTCTGAGGGACAGGGAGGAGGGTCACAGTTGTCCTAAGGAGCAGGAGGAAGACCAGAGTAGGATGCCAGGCATCTGTGCCGTGGCATTTGGCACTTGACGATGCACCCACAGAGGGCTAAGCAGGGTACTCGAGCCCAGCTCCCATCAACAACTGACCCCCATACTCACCCAGGCTGCAGGATCACATCCTCATAAAGGGCCTTCTGCCGGCTGGAGAGGCGGCACTTCAGCACGTGCTCATACTTCTTGGTCAGCTGCTTTTCCACATCTCTCTTAGTTCTCCTCAAAATAAATGGCTGGGTCACCTGCAAACACAGAAGCATTACTGTTCTCTCCAGGTACTCTGGAGTTATATTCTCTGGGGCAGTATGCACCTCAGACTGGCTTAGACGGTCGGCCACATACCCGGTGCAGCCGGATGACCAATTTGTGGTAGTAATCCTGGTTCTCTTCATTAGGGGCTTTTAAAGGGAAGTTCAAGTAGGGCCTGGAGATCCCTGGGATGAGAAAGTGCACCATGGTCCACAGCTCCAGGAAGGTGTTGTGCAAAGGTGAGTCAATCAGAAGCAGGCGCTGCTGACTGTGAGGAGGACAGAGGAACAGCATTAATACAAATTCTGAAGCTCATAAATGCAGCTGGTGCAAACTCGGAAAATGTTTAAGAGAAAGGGGAGACAGCCTGCAGGCCAATGTTCAGCCAGATGGCAGACAAGCCTGCAAAGTGCACAATAACCCCAAGGAAGAAGGAAGTCCTCAGAACAATTTCCCACATGAGATCAAAGTGTAGCATCTGCCCAGAGACAAAGCTCAGAGGCAGGAGGTGACAGTGACAAAGGCCAAGTGGAAACGAGAAACCAAGAGGCAGTAGAAAGAGCTATTACAACATGGGGATCTCAATCAGCAGCCGGACACAGAACATGTAGAAGCTGTTCAATGGAAAATTGATTTGCTGTTTTAATTTCATGATACAATATTTTTTTTTAAAAGCACGAAGCTGAGATTCAACAGACCTGAAGACACAGACCAAGTGACATGGGCTGCTGGGGCTCCTCAGTCCTCTATGTTTAAACAATGGGGACTCTTTGCAACTGAGGACCATTCTCAACCTGACTCCATCACATCAATGACATCAGGGGTGGAAAGTACCCCCCTGCACACACACCTGTGCAGGTTGAAGACAGCTCCCCAGTGCCGATCGGTCATGTTCTTCACCTGCTGCATCTCGTCAATGACCAGGCACCTCCAGCGCACTTTGGCGAAGGAGTGATAGCCCTTGAAGAAGCGTTTGTAGGACGTGATACAGACGTTGAAGCCATGGGGTTCCGCCCACTCCTGCAGGAAAAAGCAAGGCTGTGGCATCTCCTACACCTGAGTGCTTCCGAATAAAGACCCTGGGATTTTCACTAGCGAGGGGATGGGCTGCGACCCAGGGCATCTCACTTGTCTTCCATAACTTACAGATGACCACACAGTAAATGGCTGTGTTATCACATTCTCTCCCAGGAGACTAAAGCACAGAAAGAATGCTCTGGAAGTGGCAGCAATGTAGAAGCGAGAGCTCCTCAGGGTGGTCCTGAAGTGGGACTCGCGTCCACAGCACACTGAAGGGGCGTATTCTCACAGCATGACAGGAAACACGATTATGACTGTTGTAAACAAACTAACACTCTAAACTTCTAAAAAAATCAACTGACAACTAGAAAAGCTAACATGTCTCAAAGCACGCAGTTTCAATAAACACAATGCCATTATAGTCCAATGATAAGCCAACTGTCGACACCAACAGCCATTTTGGTCAATAAACATTCTCTCAATCCTTGCTACATCATTCCACATGGATGATGTCACCCGCAGAACCAGATTCAGCAATCTGCTCACAGGACCACTTGAGTTGGAGACTCAGCCTCAAAGTGGCACAGGGTCTGACCGATCTGCAGGTCATGCAGGGCTCTGAATTAAAAGCTGGAATGTGTCTATCCTGCAATCTCCTGAGGCTGGTGATCCCCAATAGATCAGCTGGTGTGAAGACAGGAGCCACAGCAGAGAATATTCTAGAATGGTCTAGAAGGAGAGCCTCCTGTTTTCTAGGTAGTGAGGCAGCCCAGCATGTAACTGGGCCACTTGGCAGCCTAGGCCTTTGTGTGAGGGATAATATATGTCCTCAGAGATGGTCAAAATATCAAAAACTTGCAATTTCTAACAATTACATTGGCAAACACATGTGGACAATCTGAAACGATTTTCTAGTAAAAGTTAAGATGGCATTCTTTTCCATTTCATTATCTGTTTCTGTCTCTCCAAAATACCTGTCTCTTGGCTCGGAGCTCACGGTGGCTGCCAACATACAGGAGGGTTTTCAGCCCAGGGCACCAGCGCTTCAGCTCAAGCTCCCACTTGAGTATGTTACAACTTCTCACAACAACAAGATGGGGGCCCCAATTACCTGCAGAAGAAAAGACACGGATTCTCCAATGCATTGGTGTCACTCTGCCACATCTAGGAGCCGGCCGGGGCTACTTGGCTGTGTCCAATGAACTGGTGTACAACTAAGGCCCACATGAGGACAGAACAGTTAGGACTGTAATACCACCAACATAGCCAGGGTCCACAGTGTCTCCCCTCACTACAAGGGGCACTGTTATGTATCTATGGAATGAACCCACCTCTGTCAAGTTGATTCCAACTCACAGTGACCCTCTGTCAGGTCCGTCCCCAAGACTGTGCATCTTTACTACAGAGGACCACCCATCTTTCTTCCAAGAATAGCTGTAGATTTGAACTGCAAACCAATCAGCTAACTGCCTGTTATTTTGCACTACACCACCAAGGTCCGTGAATGTCACTCACTACCTCACCCCTCAAGGCAGCCTGTGTGTGGCCCTGGAGAAGAGAAGGCAGCAGGAGAGTGGGGCAGGCATGAAAGGAGCTGAGTGCTCATTTGCACCGTCCTGGGAGAAGACTGGGGCGTGCAGCCTGCTCTGAGGTCCACTCATCACAAGGTCAGCCCCGACCTAGAAGTCCTGTGTACTTATATCAGAGGCCAAGGAACTGTGAGTTCATCCCATCCGAGGTCAGCTCTGAATGGGCCTTCCTTTGGCCCGAGAAGCTGATGTGCCCCAGCCATCCTCAGGCTCAGGCCCAACACATAGGAGCAAAGATGTCAGCTCAATCAAAGTGGCTTGGTGATGCTAGAAGCTCTCACCTTCGTTACATGCAAGATGGGCAAAGAAGGCGATGATCTGCACGGTCTTGCCGAGCCCCGCCTCATCGGCCAGGACACCATTGAGCCTCTTTCTGTAGAGCTTAGCCAGCCAGTCCAGCCCAATCTTCTGGTAGTCTCGGAGCACTCCATAGAGCAGGGATGGGGTGTTAAACTTCACCTGCAGCCACACACACCAAGCAGGCTTCTTGTTTACAGAGTGACTACCAGCAACAGAAGGCACCCCACAGATGGCAGCCCCTGTGCAATGACAGGGAGAAAACAGGGGCTTCTTCCTCCAATAACTCAGAGGTGAGGGACACTGGAAATCTCTCTGTACTTGCAGACTTATCTACTCCTCACTTTGAAAACAGTCCACAAGGCTACCATGAGCCACTCTGTCATACTCCCAGGGTGGCAATAACTGAAACTTAAAAACAGGAAAATAACTCGTGTTCGCGAGGATGTAGAGACACTAGAGTCCTGGGCCCAGGTGATAGGTCTAAGTGCTTCAGCTGCTGGGGCTACAAATGTGTTAAGCCTGCAAAAGTGAAGGTGGAGGTGCCGAATAACCCAACAATCACACTCCTAATACACACACAACCAAAGACAGAGGTTCAAGCCCACCCAACTATCAGAACTGGTGAAAGGTGGAAGCAACCCGATCAGCACCTCTTGAAGAAGAGACAGGGCATGGACTAATCAACCAGAGGGAAAGAAACGCTGACACAGCTATACTGTGGATAAACCCTGGAAGCACACTCAAAGGAGCCACCCACAAAGTCTACATTATCACACAATCCCACTCACATGATAGGTCCAGAAGAGGGAAATCCAGACAGCAGACAGGTGTGCAGGGGGAGGAAGGAGCAAGGAGTGAGGGTGACACAGATGGAGAGCCAAGTGTTGTGGGCTGAATGGGGAGCAGGGGTGTCCAGGAGATGATGTGAGGTGATCAGAGTGGATAGGCTAGGTGGGAAGCAGGGGTGTTTGGGTGGTGATATAAGGAAAGGAGAATATTATGGGCTGAATGGAGAGCAGGGGTGTTGGGAGTGATGATGTAAAAAGATCAGAGTGGTGTTGGGTGGAGGG